AGTGATAAAGACAAGGAGAATAATGTGCTTCCCCAGGAAGAAAACGAGAATGACGTACCGGACTGTTGTGTACAAACAAAAACAGATAGTGACAAGCCGGCGCCCGAAAAGGGATCGCCCTTGGTGAAGAAATTTGCGACCAGACTGAATGGGAATGTGGACAGGAGCTCGGTTCTGTCCAAGGCAGCGATGTTCGAGGCGGGTAGCCCCAAGACCAAGGAAAAAGACCCCGCAGAGATGTCGTTGAGGGAACGGAAAGCACTATTCGAAAAGAATAAGGGCACAGCGATCATTCCGAAGGCGCCCTTCGGTCTCGCACCCTCCGTCAAAATACTGCAAGGGGAGAATAAAGGTAAGGCTATTTTTATTTATAACTACTCGTAGTTTAGTGCCGATGATGTACACATTTAACATACATATTATAGTTACGTTTAACTACAAACAGACCAAATATTAAACACACATCGCGTGTAGTGGTTCTTGTATATTATTTTTTTATTTGCAATTTATCTCGTTTTAGATTTACAAAATGTTTTTATTTCACCTTGTAACTTGTACATTAATTTATCCTTATCAATATTTAATTACAACTTCAAGCATCAAAACGATACTTGTAAAGTACCCACACTTTGACTGATAGCAAATCTATTAGATTTTACTCGGCGTACAGTAATTGCGGTGCCAAAAATTCCTTTTATTTGGTGATTTTAAAAATAGTCACATTATAAAAAGTAAAAGATGTTACCTCACTCTTTTGCCTTTTTCTACCAATAAAAAACTCTAAAAAAAATTGACATCGTATTGTCACGTAGCTTTATCGTTTAAATAAATCGACAACGGACAAAAAAGTCGACAAAAAGCATATGTTAGTATACTGTTCCATGTCTATCAACTTACTATTCGATTTTCAACCTTATGATTAATCAAATGCTTACATTAGAAAACGATAATCGTTTCAATGTTGTCAAAACGAGTTCAAAAACCGTTGGGATTTTTTTGCGCCGGACATTAATTATGTATAAAGACGTAACGGATTCGGTTTTGATGCAAATCGCAAGAAACGAAAATAAATTGAAATAAATTCTAAGTGAGACTTCATATAGTGAAGACAAGTCGAGATTTTGTCGCCGGTATAAGTATATTTCAATCGGTAAACAATATAATATCAACAACACTCTTCTTTCTTTGTTCGTTTGGTTGACCTTATCTTGTTTTTTGTTATAGTTTCCAAAATTCATAGAAAGCGACTATTTTTGTATCGGCGCTTAGATATATTAAGATTAGTAGACGCAACGTTTAGTTGCACTGGAAAAGCAGTGGAAGCAGTTCTGAGTTTTGTCCCCTTGCCCTTACCACCTTTTTCTTATAAGAAAAGGAAAGGATGGGAAAGTGAACAGTCGGTCCATAGTTAAATTGTGTTACTAAAGTGAGTAAAGGTACGACTACAAAGCTTCTCTTACTAATATTATAAATTCGAAAGTTAAGATGTATGGATGGATGTTTGTTAGAGTTTGTAGCTTAAACTGCAGAACAGATCTCGATGAAATGATATAGATGTATATGATAGTCAGGAAGAACACATAGGCTATTTACTTTTGTTTTTTTATTATTATTATTTAACTCGCAGGCAAAAGCTACTTTGTTAAATAATATTGTCTCCAGAGGTCACAAACCTTAAATCAAAAAGTCATATTGTATTTAATGTTACATAATTTTTTTTACGTATTGCGTGTAAACTTATATCGTCGTTGTTGACTAGCGCAAGTTATCTGTTTTAGAAGGGCTCTGTCATGCACCACACGGTAATAATCATACGTGAACTTGTATCAGTTTACCATATAAATACCGTTTGAAATATAAAACCGAAGTATTGATTACGTTTTACATGAGTGTCACGTAGAATTATATCAATAGATGTGCAGGAGACTACAGCTGTTTGTCTTACTTTTTTTTATCCCCAAAACCATACTGATATTATAAATGCGAAAGTTTAGATGGATGGATGTTTGTTAGAGTTTGAAGCTTTAACTGTTGAACGGATCTCAATGAAATTTGGCACAGATTTCTGGGAAGAACATATAGGCTACTTACTTTTGTCTTTTAATTCCACCCGGAGGGAGTAGCGGGCAAAAGCTAGTACGTAATAGGCAAAAAAACGATTGTTTGTATCACCTTATGAACTTGTGTAGATCTACACACTGTAAATCTTGAAGGGACACAATAAAAATAGCTCTTCCTATAATTTAACCGCAGTTTTCTAATAATGTAAAATTGATATCCACAAACCAAAGTATTTGAAAGCGGTTAGGCAAAATGACCAATAGGGTAGGTCAATTTTATTTCCTTTGTTCCTCGAAATACGTGCAAAACAAATAACGTAATATCAAATTCACGGTAACAGACAACAGAGGGTCTATCACGAATATTTGCGTGACAGTATTAGTAACGTCATCGAAATAATCAAACATTGTATAAGAGGACTTGGAGTGCTTTACCTGCGATAGGAGCGCTGCATAACGATGACGATACGAAAACGTTCTCACGAATATTCGTGATACGGCCTCACAATGCACACTCAGCTTTACGAATAAATGATCGTCGTTTGTTTATTGCAATTGTTTTACGTTCGAGGAAAATGTATTCAAAATTGCACGATCAGTTTCTTTGTTTTTCCTTTGACGAAATAACAAAAGGTCAGTGATAAAACTCCAATAACCCAATGGTTTGGAATATGAACTCCCGTTCTTGCAGTCGTGGCTTCAAATCCTGCTAATTGACTTTTGTGATAAATTATATGATGTAAATAATTTAGAAACAAAAGGATTACGTCATTCTCGGTACCTTTGTTGATGTTTATTATGTAAATATTAGTCAGCTTTAATTTTAAATTACTACACCTCTAAGCATTTATGTATGAGACGTTAAAACCTCAAAGATGTTATAAAAAAAAACTTAAAGTATTTCAACAGTTTAGAAACGTTCCCATCTGACATTTTTGTCACGAAACTGCGACTACGATCTTATCAATTGCGATTATTACAAAAACCACCAGTCGTATTCATAATGCGAACAGAAATAATAATAAACTGCACGGTTGTTAAATCTGTTACATTTTGACCTATAACGGCTTTACTCGAATTCTATACTAGCGTTAGCTCGCGTATCCGTTCGAATGGAATTAACAAAAAAACATACAGACGACTTGAGTACCTCCTTCTTTTGGGAAGGCGATCAAAAAATGAAAGTAAGTGTGTACTTCCAGACTATGACTTAAAAAAAGCTATAAACTGTAATTCACATCCATGCATATAAACTTTCGCGTTTATATTAGTACTAGCTGTTCCCGTGCGACTTCATCCGCATGTAATTTCGAAAATTTCATTTTATTGTTTACATTTGTCAAATTACAAATGTCAAAATGACATGACGTTATGGCAACCTTGCTTCCTTGATGTTGGCAACAACTTATGGTCTCTTTCCCACATTAGGGTTTTTATCCAAAATATTTACCCCCTAAGTTTAATAGTAAAATATATAGCCTAAAGCGTGACGTAAGTGTAGGGCTTTTTATTAAAAAAAACAGTTATTCAAAAATATGCTGTAATTGCTGACATCTTAGGCAACAAAGAAGTGTGTGTGTACGCTTTATTATAATAATATAGAGAGTAGGATATTAAACTGCAGCATAGGGGAACCTAGTGCAGGAGCCAAGGCTTTCATGAAATATATATTTTCAAAAGTGAAATAATAAAGGATTTATTTGTTTATTTAAATGTTATAGTTTTTATTTAGAGCAGTGTTTTTTATCTTTAAAATTATATAAGGGAAATGGTTTTTGATCTAATTAAATTTGACTTTTTGTACCCAACTAACTTCAACCAAATTTAGTGTTTGCAAGAAATAATTACAACCATTTCGGCTTACTATGAATATAAATGACAATAAAAACTTAGTTATAGCGGCTTAATCGCCTCAAATATGCGTTTTTTTTTATTTTGCGGTAAAACAATTGATAAACTGAAATATCTTTTTGACGTAATCTTTATGACTCACTTTTTGGCGGGAATCTTTTGAAACCTTGAAGCTTTTAACAACTACGCATTTATAACGAAAATTATTTGTTTGTGCACTTTGGGTAAAAAGATTTAATGATTGTGCCTTCATGATATCAGTAGTTAATTAAGTTTTTTTTTAAAGTTACACGCAATTTTATTTGTAATTTATATCAAACTAGCTTTCGCCTGAACGCGACACCGTCCGCGTGGAATTAAAAAACAACAAATGTGTTCTTCCAGACTATCTTCTACATCTATACCAAATTTCATCGAATTCCGTTCAGCCGTTTAGGCTGCAAACTCTTAACAAATATCCATCTAAACTTTCGCATTTACATTGACAGCATAAAAACGATGTATTTTTTTGCATCGCGTTTTTTTTTGTACAATCGTATTCTTTTGTGTAGATTTAATAATTTCCTTAAGTATTAAATAAGTGTTTAATATCGTAATCGGCAAAAACCTTAAATACCGTATAATTTTGACTAAGATATTGTAAAAGACATCTAACTTACCTTCGTTTGTAAGATGTAATTCTTGTTTTTTTTTTTATGTAGCTTCCTTAAACATTAAAAATAGTTTGACATTACATAAACTAGGGGCAAAATAACCTTAAACACTACTTCGTAAACGCCGCTTACATGTAGACAAAATTTGTAAAGTATTTGTAGCTTTATTATTTAACACACTGTTAGATACTAAAATATCGTTTCAGTGTTTGTCCAGTATTCATATTTTTTAAAAGGCTTCTGTTAACAATATTGAAGCGTATTTCTAAAGTTTCCGACATATTAACCTATTTCAAATTTTTCGTTGATTAACTATGAAACCTTGTAAACTGTACGAAGGGTCATTGTACAAATTACTGTGAGTATATTAATGAAACCTGTTTAGTGCGTGAAAACACTATTGTGTCTTCATTAGAAGTAAGATTCTATAATTTTTTGAATATTTTTAAGGAAAAAAATCCTCTGAATATAATTAAATTATGGTGTACCTAATTCCTCGATTTCTAAAAAGTTTCATCAAGAGTAAGTCGTGGTTAAATTTATTAAAATCAAATAAGACAAATTCGATTTAAAATAAACTAAAATAATGTAAATCGTCAAGTACCCATGACTAGAAATTTCCATGTTTATTCCGTGTATTTACGTGACTAATTCACACATCCTTATTTGCTTAAATATTTCTAGGGCTGTCACCTATCCCGTTTTGTAATACCCAGAATTAATTTTTTTATCATACTCAGCGTTCATTGACTTAAATTTACTTTCTCAGTACATCAGGCTGTTAAGAA